CCCCCCGGCCCAGCCCCCAGCGCGGCGTGGGATGGCCGATGTCACACGGAGCAGAGCAATGACATTGTAATTTCCACCTGAGCGTCGAGCAGCCGCCGCCGGCCCTCGGACGGGTCGTGGGCGCCCAAGTGATCCCTGCGCAGCTCCTGCTCCACCAGCATCAGCCTGCGGGGCCAGGCTTCACCGGGGTCATGCTGCCACCCCCCCGGGGACAGCCCCGGGACACGGGGACAGCCCGGGGACAGCCCCGGGACACGGGGACAGCCCGGGGACAGCGTGGGGACAGCCTGGGGACAGCCCCGGGACACGGGGACAGCCCGGGGACAGCGTGGGGACAGCGTGGGGACAGCCCCGGGACACGGGGACAGCCCGGGGACAGCCTGGGGACAGCGTGGGGACAGCGTGGGGACAGCCCCGGGACACGGGGACAGCCCGGGGACAGCGTGGGGACAGCCTGGGGACAGCCGGGGACAGCCCCGGGACACGGGGACAGCCCGGGGACAGCCCCGGGACACGGGGACAGACCGGGGACAGCGTGGGGACAGCACCGGGACACGGGGACAGCCCGGGGACAGCGTGGGGACAGACCCGGGACACGGGGACAGCCCGGGGACAGCGTGGGGACAGCGTGGGGACAGCCCCGGGACACGGGGACAGCCTGGGGACAGCGTGGGGACAGCGTGGGGACAGCCCCGGGACACGGGGACAGCCCGGGGACAGCCCGGGGACAGCGTGGGGACAGCGTGCGGACAGCCCCGGGACATGGGGACAGCCTGGGGACAGCCCGGGGACAGCGTGGGGACAGCGTGCGGACAGCCCCGGGACACGGGGACAGCGTGGGGACAGCCCGGGGACAGCCCCGGGACACGGGGACAGCCTGGGGACACGGGGACAGCCCCGGGACAGCCTGGGGACAGCCCCGGGACACGGGGACAGCCCGGGGACAGCCCGGGGACAGCCCCGGGACAGCCTGGGGACATGGGGACAGCGTGGGGACAGCCTGGGGACAGCCCCGGGACAGCCTGGGGACAGCCCGGGGACATGGGGACAGCCTGGGGACAGCCCCGGGACACGGGGACAGCCCGGGGACAGCCTGGGGACAGCCCCGGGACAGCCCCGGGACAGCCTGGGGACAGCCCCGGGACAGCCCCGGGGCACGGGGACAGCGTGGGGACAGCGTGGGGACAGCCCAGGGACAGCCTGGGACAGCCTGGGGACAGCCCGGGGACAGCCCGGGGACAGCGTGGGGACAGCCTGGGGACAGCGTGGGGACAGCGTGGGGACAGCCCCGGGACACGGGGACAGCCCCGGGGCACGGGGACAGCCCGGGGACAGCCCGGGGACAGTCTGGGGACAGCCCGGGGACAGCCCGGGGACACGGGGACAGCCCGGGGACAG